AATTGCTTATCTCATATGTGCCAAGTGGGATAAATGCAGTAAAGCATATGCTTAGGAGGGGAGATCCAAGATGGCTGCTCGGGTAGACATCAAACCCCGGCAGCACACAACAATTTCAATGGAATACACTAAAATGTAGAGCGGACATTGCCCAGAGCTACAGGTAGTCGACTGACTGAAAATTCTACAACAAGAAGGAAAGAGAAAACCAGAAGGAAAATCAGAGGAGCTGAAAAAAAGCCTAAGGTACGGAGACATGCTGCGTGCCCGCCCGCAGGCGCGCGCAGAGAGGTCGCAGCCGGAGAGGAGGAGAGGGCTGGGTGCTGCCTGGCATTCCCTAGCAGGAAGGAAATAAAACCCCAGCCTGGGCTGAACCCCCAAACCGGCAGTGCTGAGCCCCCCGAACCGGCAGCACTGAGCCCCAGTTATGGGCCAGACCCTGGGGACCCAGGTTCCGGCAGGGGGAGACGGGGCTGTGAGGCTGAATCCCAGAAGAGCGGCGAAAAGCAGGGCCCCCAGAGTCGTGCGCAATGCGTGCGCAGAGGACTGAATGTTGACTCTGATGCTGGGTTACCCTAGCCGGAAGAAACAAGGCCTCCGGCAGTGCTGAGCCTCAGTCCGGACTGCTCCGAACCCCAGTTCTGGGCCAATCCCTGGGGACCCAGGCTCAGGCAGAGGGAGACGGGCTGTGAGGTGAAGTCTGGGGAGAGCGGCGAAAGGCCGGGCCCCCGGACTCGCGCACACTGCGCGCAGAGGACAGTCTGTTGACTCTGATGCTGGACTCCCCTAGCGGGAAGGAGAAAAAAAGCTCCGGGCTGGGGGAACGCGGCAGGGAGCAGGAGCCCCTGCCGGACGCAGGCCAACCAGGCACCAGCAAGGAGGCGGGCGACGGGGCCCCTGGGGGGGTGGGTGCTCCTGAGCCTTCGACTGCTGAGCGCAGGCAATGGAGCCAAGACTGGGGGCTGCTTCCTGGTCAGCGCTGTCCCCGGCAACAGGCTGAAGCAGCACAGGAGCCCGCAGAACAAAGGGGTGCCACAGGCCAACCTGCTGAGCTCCCAGGACAAGGAGGAAGAAACCAAAGAAGTTCTCAATGTGAAGAAATCAAGTGAGAGCAAAAGATAGTAAAATTACTTAAGAAAGAATACAAAGAAGTTCTTGAAAAATCAAAGACTAAGTCAGAACTCAACTCACCAGCCAACATTGCAACATAAATGCGTTTAAAAAAAAAAAAAAAGAAAAAAAAAAGGACAGAATGTTGGAACAGCAGCGGCCAGGTCTAGAGTGGCCAGGCACAAGGTAGTGGCAGCTGGGCCCGGAGCAGCAACGGCCAGGCCCCAGAGCAGCAGCAGCCAGAACCAGAGCATCAACAGCCAGCACTGGAGCAGCCAGACCTGGGGCAGTGGCAGCCAGGCCTGAGGCGGAGGCGGCCAAGCCCAGGGTGGCCAGTCCAGACCCGGAGTGGCCGGGCCCGGAGAAGCTGGGCCCAGAGCAGCCAGACCCAGAACAGCAGTAGCCAAGCCCAGGGCATCCAGGCCGGGAGTGGCCAGGCCCGGAGCAGCGGCAGCCAGGCTGGGAGCCGCCAGGCCCGAGAGAGCAGCCGGGTCGGGTGCGGCCAGGCCCGGAGCAGCGGCTGCCAGGCTGGGAGCGGTCAGGCCCGGGGGAGCAGCCGGGTCGGGTGCGGCCAGGCCCGGAGCAGCGGCTGCCAGGCTGGGAGTGGCCAGGCCCGGAGCAGCAGCAGCCAAGTCCAGAGCAACTAGGTCGGGAGCGGCAGTGACCAGACCCGGAGCAGCTGGTTGTGGAACGAACCAGAGCAACAGAGGCCAGGCCCTGAGCAGCCAGGCCCGGAACAGCTCGCTCCTCGCCTGCCCCTGCCCCACGGCTGCCTCTTCGACAGGACTGGAAACTTTCGCGGGAACTTGAGGGTCTGCTGAATCAAGTGATGAAGGCTTAGATCTGGATGTGTTGAGTTAGTATAGGGCTGGGGTGTTGATCTGTGAGTGCCTTGGGTGGGGCCTAGATGAGGCTAGTTGACCTATTGGGAAATGTCTTTTGTGTGAAGTGTATCATTGGGCATGTGGAGGTATTATTGATATGAGAAAATGCTAAGTAACTGATTTACTATCTGAAAAGGGATTTACTATCGGGGAAAGGGAGGGAAGAAGAGACTGAACATAAACTGTGCACCTATGGATGAGCACAATGGGGGATGGGGAGGGGGCGAAGGGTGGGGCGGGAACCTGGTGGAGGGGGGAAGAAATGAGGAACCTTTGTAATAATATGAACAATAACGATTGATTTAAAAAAAAATTTTTAAAAAAAGCACGTGCTTAGGACATGCCCACTGCATAGTAGGTGCTCAGTGAACATGAGCTATTATGATTATGACCCCTCCACAGCACTGCTTGTTAGAAGTCTGAACTCACAGTAGATGATCAGTAAAATAAGACTTCCTGTAAACAGGGAGATCTGATGGGACATTCTGGGTAAAGAAACCCAGAAACGCAAAGAGCTGGTGAAGAGCAGTGAGAAACTACCTGGAGGAGCAGGTAGGTCTGGAGGAAATCCCCAGGATGTCTGTGTCTGCCTCCAGGACAGGGAACTCACTACTCTGAAGCAGTGTATTTTGTGCTTACCAGCTCTGATAGTCACAGTTCTTTGCATAAGTGACCACATTCTGTCTTTCAAGTCATAAGAAAACCCCAGGGACCAAGGAGTGAGGCTCAGACTAGTTGTGGCATATATACAAGGGTAGTCAAGGACTTTTGGGGCCTTTGAAATCTATGCCCACTTCAATACCTACTTTCCCCTTTTCCAGGTCACTCTCACACTACTGTCCCATTTGGAGCAAGTAGCCAGGTGTTGGGTGTTAGCCATAACCACATGAAATCACACAGAGGGAAGTGTGGTGGGGTCTCCCAGGAGAGAACAATGCTTTCCACAGGGTTCTCTCAGCTTCTTCCTGGTGAAATGCGTGCTCTTTGCAGATTTTTTTTTTTTTTTTTTTTAACTGTTGTAAAGCTGTGAGACAAACAATCTCGCCACTGGAGAGCAAAAATGCGTCCCAAAGCTAGATGTGTCCATACCTGGGCAGGGCCTGTCCCTCTTCATTGTCAGGCAGTACAGGACCCAGCCGGCCATCCTTCAGGGGAGCCCCTGGCATATATCCTTTGAGCCAGAGTCCTATCACTAATCAATACCACTGCCCAAGAGTTTACCTGGAACTGAGGGAGGAGTTCAGACCTCTTATTCTCAGGTCTGGGCAGGAACAGCTACCCTGTGTTTCCACTCTGGAGGCTACACTCTGGCTGGCCATTTAGGGCCCAAGGAGAGATCCCAACACTGCAGGACAGGCCTCCGGGGCCCAGCTCATCTCATTCTGATAGCATCCCTGACATCTCCCCCAAACTGGGGGCTGGACAGTACCTCTTTTGCCATGCTCTCCTGGGTGCCCTTCTGACAGTCCCTGGCAGGCTGTACCTCTGCTTTCATTGAATGTGCATCAGGGAGGCCCTGAGCAGTGACATCCTTGCACTGCCATCACTTCTTCCTCCCTGCTCTGAGCTATTGGAGACCAATAACTCGTGGAGACCATAAAGCTGTGGCCCAGTTGATGGCAGTGGCTTCTTTCCCACCCCACTCAAGGATCTCAGCCCTGGAAAACACTGGAATCTGAGGTGGGGCACCACTGACCACGTCCCCATCTTGTTGAAGCCCTACAGCAGTTGGTGAGGTAGAACAACATTATCAGAACCCCTACACAGACGAGGTAGATAGGCTCAGAGAGTCAAATGGACTTTCCCAAGATCACACAGCTACTAGATAGCAGAGCCAGATATAGTGGAAACCATGTGCTCAAGGGGGAAGGGGAGCGAAGGAGCACAGGCTCTGTGACCTTGGGCCAGTTACTTCTCTGAATCTCTCTTCTCATTTGAAAAATGGAAATAATGCCGAAACCGGTTTGGCTCAATGGATAGAGTGTCGGCTTGGGGACTAAAAGGTCCCGGGTTTGATTCCGGTCAAGGGCATGTACCTTGGTTGCGGGCATATCCCCAGTAGGGGGTGTGCAAAAGGCAGCTGATCGATGACTCTCTCATCGATGTTTCTCTCTCTCTCCCTTCCTCTCTGTACAAAATCAATTATATATATATCTATGAAAAATGGAAATAACAATACTTCCTGTCTTGTCAGGCTGTGAAAATTAAATTAGATTATGCCATACAATGTATTTAGCATAGTAGCAACATGGAGAGCTGCTCAGTAAATGTGGCAATGGTTGGGATTATTAGCCCAATAATATTCAGATGCTGTCTCTGTTTGGACCATGCCCCAAATTAAGCCTGGTACCTCTAGGCTCCCATATGTCTTTGTTGGTGTCATTCATGACCTGCCAAAGTGAACTCAGGGTCCCAGTATGGAGGAGCAGTGGTAGAGTGGGGCCATTAGATTCCTTCCTGGGGCTGCCTGCCTGCTGACAGGTCAGGGGCCTATCTCTGGCCCATGGTGGCTGCTGTTTTCTCACATGGACCTCAGCAGCACTCCGGGCCTTGCTGGGGCTTTGCCATGAGTCTTTGGTCTCTAGAGGACAAGGCCGAGCAGGGAGCTACCCACTTAGTGATGCCACTCAGTCTCCTGCACATCATGCCCTGGCTTTGGACACTGCTCCTTCAGAGTCTGCCTCCTGCAGATGAATCCCTCCAGGATATGGTCCAGGCCAGCAGCCTGACATTTGGACACCCCCTTCAGGAGCACTGCAATGGGAAGGAAGGTTCTAGACACTTCGTGGAACCAGTAGGGAAGTAAGATGAGCTCTGAGAAAGCTCTGGGGCCTGTGGGACTGGATACTCAGCATTTTAAAATTTTATTATGACTGTGTTTGTTTAAATATATATATATATATGTGTGTGTGTGTGTATATATATATATATATATATATATATATATATATATTTATTTATAACTTTATATACCTCCCCCCACCCAATCCCAGTCCCCTCCGACCCCTAATTTTTCCCTTTGGCTTTCTGTCTGGAGGCTGTGTAGGGAAGCACTGTCTGCGTGCTCTTGTCTGACACTGTTTGGGTGCTGCTGTTCCTCATGATCCTTCGCGTCTGCTCAGGGGCCAATGAGCATTGTCCAGTCAGTGTAGGGCGCTTTGGCTTGTTGGGGGCCTGGGAGGTCTTGAGGGGGCCCACATGGGTCTCTGTATTGGGAGGCTCTGGTGACAGGCCCACCTCCTCCTCTGCTGCTGCCTCCTCACCATCCCCCTCTTCATCGTCACAGCACAAAGCATGGTAGAGCACTTTGTCACTGAAGCGCACTCTCTCCCGTGTGCCTGGGGTTCGCTGGGGCAGTTGCCCCTTGAGAGGGCCGGTGCTGAAGGCCTCCTCACTGGAGGAGTCTGGAGTCTCCACCCGTGGCCCATTAGGAATGGGCATGCCACCGTTCATGAGTCGGTAGTCTGAACCAGCCCCTGGTTGTGTTGGTTCGGGGGCATCCATGGAATCTGAAGGGGTAGAGACATCCAGGAAGGAGCAGAACTCCCAGCTGTCTGAGAGGATGTCAGCTGTCGTGAAGTCCAGGTGGCCCAAGTCAAACGGGCCACCTACACCGGCCTTGTCGCTGCTGGAGGTACTGCTCACAGTGGCTGTGGTCCAGTCATCTGGCTCCAGTTCAAAATCGAAGTCTGAGGTTAACTTGTCTATCTGGCTCACCACCTGTCCAGGGAAGGGCAGAAGCATTAGAGTGGCCAGGCCAGACCTAGCATCACTTAGGTGTGAGCATGTGCCCCCTCCATGACATCCTCCCTGATAATGTCCCTATAGGATGACAACTGGACTTGAGGTCACAGGCTTGTTTGCTCTGTGAAAGGCCCAAACTGGACCAGGGTGAACAGAGCTTGTTTTTCATTCCTGACTCTTGGGTGGAGGAGGGACTGTATTCTAGACTGTACTCCATCCATTCACATAGCCCTCTCCCCCTAGCCAGCTGCTGTTCTGAGGGGAGAGGTACAGGGGGTTATAGGTTCTGGTGCTCAGAACTTGATCTTCCTATGACTGAAAAGGCTATTTAAAGAGGGTTGTTAATAGATGAAAGGATTAGTGTAGTAAAGGTTAAAGGGGGCCAAGTATATAGTGATGGAAGGTGATTTAACTTTTGGAGGGGGGGCACACATTGCAATATACAGATCATGTATCATAGAAATGTACATTTGAAACCTATGACCCTATTGACCAGTATCACTCCAATAAATTTAATCAGAAAATGAAATAAAAAATAAAGAGGGCTGAGAGACTCCAGGAAACCCACTTAGTGGAGAGGTGGGAAAATGATATGGGATGCTCTGAGGAAGCATTCTGGGCCAGCCTGTGCAGCTGGTCAGTGACTGTCCCTCAAGGATCTCCATCACTCCACCCCTGCCCCTCAGAGCCTTCTCCCTCCTTCCTCTCCCTGGTCTCTGATGACTGGAGATCAATCCTGGCTTGTTGGGGAATGAATACAACAAGTATTATTTGGTAAGCAATAAAAAACCCCCCATCCATTCTGGGCCCAGAGGTGCCTGTTAAATGCACTTGGGATGGGAGGGGAGACAATTCAGCTGCAACTTGTCCACTCTACAAAGACTAAAGCTCTGACTCCATGCAGGCAGCCCTGCCAATGGACATCCCCTGACCTTGGCCACTGTCAGCACTTGAGTCAGGAATGAAGATAATAGGGAAAGGAGAATCAAGAAGAGGAGAGAGTCTTCAGGCCAAAAACAAAAATAGCAAAACATCAAAAGCAAAGTAGAGGAACCAAGAGACCCGGAGACAAAGGCATATGCAGTGAATCACAAGCTCAGGGCCTCTCCCGGTATTCTTACCTGGAGTCAGAGCAGCCAGTTAATTGATTACCTAATCAACAAAACTTTACTGAGGACCACAACTGTCCAGGGATGTGCTAGGTATTTGGTGAGGAGTGGGGGTGAGGAATGCTCCACAGCAAAAGAAGAAAGCAAAGACAAAACTGAGGGGTCAAGAGGAGTCTGGGTCACTGAGATGTCTTCTTGGTTAGGGGATCAGGAGACTCCATGCAAGTGACCTGTTCAGTTAATTTCCCACTTAGGTCTCAGTTTCTCAATCTGTAAATGGGAATTGAGTGAACTGGTTGATCTCCAACCAGTGGCTGTGATCTTAGTAAAGGGTTCTATAGGGCATTGGCGATAAAAGTGATATTATCTCCCATCTCTGAGCACCTACTTATGTGTCAGACTTTCGACCGGTGAGATCATAGATAATGGGCCTGAGGGGCCAGTCAATGGGGAAGCTGAGATTACTGCCTTCGCCACACCCCTGCAAGACTGCACGCTGCTCCAAGTGCTACTGTGATTTCTGGGGATGAGTAGGCAATGGGCATAGGGCTCCACCCTCCAATCTGGCCACCTCTTCTATGTCTCTCACTCCAGTGACTCCCCCTACCACAGAGAAGGTCATATCCCCCAGAAGTCCTTGCTCAACCCAATCCACACCTGAGGGCTGATAAGGACCCTGGCCTCAAACTAGAATGTGTATCAGCCCACTCTCCAGAGTTTCTGATTTTTCAGGTTTTGGGTAAGGTTTAAGAAAGTATAGATCTAACAGGCTTCCCTGTGCTGCTGCTGTTGGTCTGAGGACAAAGTCTGAGAACCACTGACCCAGGTACCTGATATTTAAGCTGATGAAGAAATAGCACCCCAGGGCATTGCTGCTTCAGGAGTGTCCTCTTGCTGCTGGGCAGCCACACCCTCGAATTACACTCCACAGAGCAAGCTAACTGCTGATAGTCTGCTGCTGCACAAGAGAAGGCAACAATAGCAGGAATCTGGAGTTAAATTTCCTGGCTGTAGGGACACAGACTTGGCTGAGGCTAGGCCAGGCCCAGAAGCTAGGCTCCTAACATCCTGTGAGGAAGATCCAGGGAGCACAAGGCAGGATTTCTGAAGCCTTCAGGCCTGAACATACCCCCCATCCAAAAGACCCTTCTCAGGTGGCCTTTACATTTAGGCCCTTCCTCTCCTCCCTTAGAACACCCTCTCTGGTTCCACCCTGGGGGTGTGGGAGAAGTCTCATTTTCCTTCCCTTTAGATTTAATAGATATGAATGTGCATTAGACTGCAGAGACAGCACATATAAGCATCTAAGAACCTGGGCTCTGGAGCCACACCTAGGGTCAAACCTTGGCATCATAACTTACTAGCTTTATTACCTTAGCCAGGTTGCTCAATGTCTCCGTGCGTAAGTATCCTCAGCCAAGGAGAATCCTAATAGTACCTACTTGTTAGGCTGTTGCGATGATTTAATGATGTGATGCACAGAAAGCATGTAAAACAATATCCACCATGGACATTGAGAGCCAACATGTAACAGGTATCAGCCCCAAGAGCTGATGGAAACCAGTTCTTCTCAAAGGAATGACTCTCTGATGGGGATGTTTCCAGTGCCTGTGGCAGAATAATGGGACATGTTGGGCCTTTCAAGCCCCAACACATGGGTGGAACCTATGTTCCGTGAAGTAGGGCTGTTTCCAAATGGAAACAGAAGGGGATCTAAAAGCCAAATGGTTGAGGCTCAGAGGAAAATCTGGCTCAGTTCATTAGGTGGTGTAGTTCAAACATACTTGATAAATGACATAAGTAAGGATCAGAAAGGGAAGTGAGATGCTCAGGGTACCCAGATTGTATGCAGAGCCTGGTCAGTCCATAACTCTACCTGTCCTTGGTGCCTCTCATTTCATGGGGCTCATGGGAGGGCAGGAGTTGGGCAGGCCCTAGGCTACCTGCCTCTCTGGATGTCTTGAAATCTGTAATTTCTGCCTGAGATTTAATAATCATTTTGCCTGCATGTAACTTGAGACTGTCTTAGAGTACAGACAAAATATCTATATACACAGAATAAAAGAGGGGAAGTGGGGGGATGGAGAGAGAAATGAAACCATAAAAATCACAGAATCCTACAACCTCAAAGCCAGAAGGGACTGGAGACACTGTTGAATTCATCCACCCTTCTTACTGTGTTTAGTGATAGGGAATTGAGGCCCAGCGACTATAATGAGCTGACCTGAGACCAGAAGTCAGGAGACCTGACTCCTGGGCCTGATCTTTTAAGAACATGAATTACCTGCTCAAGAGGAGGCAAGAGGGAATACTTGAGAGAAGGGCAGGAACGAGGGCTGAGACAAAATCCCCCCCCCCCGGGGGGGGGGCAGGTCCTGACTCAGCCTCTGCCCTGGTCATAGCTTTAGCTCCCCTCATCTGAACAACTGCATCCACACTCAGCTAGTCAAAAAGTCAACAGGACCACGGCACCCCTCCACTTCTAGCACTCCTGTGCTCCCCAAACTTATGGACCTCCAAACACCGCCAACACCAAGCCTGTCTCCTTATCACACCTACACACATACACCCCGAGTTCACTTCTGCCTCTGGGCCTCACCTGAACGCCTCACACCTTTCTTACTCATTCTATCTCACTTCCTATGGAAGTCCTCCTTGATCCCCAGTTGAGAACAGGTTTCCTGTGAAAGGCTCTCAAAGCACCTCATACCTTTCCTTAAAATATTATCTAGTATTTATCACTGCTACAATATTTTGAGCATATAGGTTACAATGTGGTTGATATCTTCTCAGAAGGAGTGGGCCACCACCATGCATCCCCAGTTTGGTAGAGATTGGAACTCTTTACAATACAGCCATTAAATGACTAGATGGGTTGAGACATCTTAATAAAAATTGCTGGGAAGCTTTTCTGAGAAAATGCGCCATGGTCCTGGACACCACAATATTGCCTGCCCCAGCCCCAGCTGCCTCTCCAAGAAAAGCATGGATGTGTTCCTTCAAACCCTAGAGTCAGGACCAAGGACTGGGGAATCTACCTCTATTTCCTGTATCCCCCCTGCCCCCCACCTCTGGCCCCTCACTTTTCTTGACAAGTTGCTACCTCCTCTTCCGTCTAGCTCCCTGGGCAGCAGGTTATATAACTAGGGATTCTGCAATATTTATGACCACTGATTACTTTTTAATTCTGTGATTACATTATTTATCTTCCTGGGGGCTGTGAAATTGGAAGGGGGAGAGAGGTGACTGTGATTCTTGACTCTCATTATGCAATTTGGCCTAATTGGCCCGGGAGCTTTGTGAATCTTTCTGGAGGAGGAGGATGCAAAGGGAAAAGGGAGGTGAAAAAGAAGAAAAAATCTGCACAATTCTTGCTGAGCTGTGGGTGATGGAGCTGACCCACTTTGGCACCACTCTGTGATCCCCAGCCTCTCCTGCTCCAGCTGCTATGTGGCTGGGCCACATTTATCTCCTGCTGTATGTCCCATGGCTCTCCTGGCTACCTCATATATAGCACCTTGCTGATGGGATAGTGCAATTGCATGAGCCTCATTCCCAAGAAAATCAGGTGTGGGTGTGTGGGGGGGTCTTCATTACCACTCCAGGCTGCAAAAGGGTTTTGCCTGCCCTCCATCCTCTGGAGGTGTTCAGACCAAGGTGGGCAACTGTGCCCTTAAGTTATATCCTGCCCAATCGCCAGTGATGATGTGAGGGATACTAGCGGTCAACACAGGAACATTTTGAGTCCCATGCGGAGTGACATCTTGGGGGAGGGATAACCAAGAGGGAGGTCAAGTACCTACTCAAGGTAAGCTCAACATTTGGGGGGCCAAGAACAAGGTCCTATACCCCTGACCTTGTGGGCTCCCAATTAGTAGGGAATTGGGAGAACAGTGGAGAGACAGATCCCACAGAGAAACACAATGAGATTCCTGGAGAGTGTGTGGGATTCTTATAGGACAAAATCCAAATTTTGTACTGTGACCTGCATGCCCTGTGTGCCCTGGCCTCCTGCTCTCCTTCCCTAGTTCCCTCTGCTCCAAATGCATCAGCTTCCTTGCTGATCCTGACTATGCCAAGGATACTTCCTCCTCAAGACCAGCTGCTCCCCCTGCTTGGAGGCTCATTTCCAGATCTCCATTTGACTTGTATGTATCCTCACTTCCTTTGGGTCTTTGTTCAAATGCCATCTCTTTGGAGATCTGCTTCCCAACCCCATCACAACTCCTTTTCTTCGCCAGAAGAGAGTAGGACTGCCTGCTGCGGGCCCTGGGCCTGACCTCCCTGATCATGGCTAAGATGCCAATGTGACTCCAAAAGAACAAGGGCTTACACAGTGCTGAGGAGCAGGCTAGTGCTAGAACAGTCATCAATAATATCTAACAGATATGGAGCTAGTTTTGTGCCCATCACTGTGTGAAGTACATTGTATATAATATCACATTTAATCCTCACAACCACTGTAGAGCTGGTGATGACGATGCGGCATACTATTCTGTGTTTTCATTTTAGAGACGCAAAAGAAAAGCACAAAGAGGTAAAGTAACTTTCCTAAGTACACACAGCTAAGAAGGCAGTAAAGATCATATGTGAACCAGAGACATTTGGCTGCAAAGCCCAAACTCAGCCCCTAGGCTGTACTGCTTCTCCAAATTATGATCCACAGAATTCTGAGGAGCTTAGAGAGCCTGCTGGGATTGGCCTAGCACCTGGAGTACTGGGGACTTAGGAGAAATGAAGGCTAGCTAATTATTGACTCACATCCTCTGCAACACAATTTTTGCTTTCAAGACACTTTTATATTCCTCACCTCACTTAGTCCATAAAAATACTTTCCCCAATCGTGGGACAGAACTTTCCTCCTATCCCTTGGGGAGAGAGGCAGGAGTTTGGGGAAACAGATGATGTGAGTAGGTGTTGGTCCCCCAATATGTCCTTGTAAGATCACTCTGAAGTATGATTATTATCACTCCCATTTCAGAGATGAGCAGACTGAAGCTCGGGGGCCTGGGGAACAGTGCTTTAGTGCTTCTCATCTTTCTATGATGCTCAAGAGGATGAGGAGGCTCTGCTATGATCCATGGCATGTGGGGCAGGGAGCAGCAGATGGAGGAGGATAGCAGAGGCAATATAGCTAAGCCCTTTCTCTCTGCCAGCCTTCCTCCCTTATCAAGCACCCTGCACTGCCCTCTGGCAGTCTTGTATGTAAATCCTGGCTTCACATCTAAGTGCTTCACCCTCTAGAGAACAGAATTCAGTTGGTGAAGTCTGTGCTGTGCCGCCCATCATGCCATCTCTAGGACCTGCCTAGGGGATGGGAAAGCTCTGAGAACTGCCCCCCCCCCCCCCACTTCTCAGCTGAGTGCCATTGGCAGCGGGCAGGTGGTAGCAAACAGGGTAGATTCTGGTTGCCATAGCAACCTGTCAGAGTCTTGGGTGGAGGCACATGGCCTATAGTGGGTATGGGGGGAGGGAACTCATCTTTCTCTGTCCTGGCTCAGGCCTCTGGGTTGCACAGTACACGAACCTGAAGCTCTGCTGTTCAGGACATGGGAATGGGTGTGTGTGCTGAAAAGAGAGGGTGAGGATATCTCAAAAATCTGCAAGTAAATCCTAATGCTTCTGATCTTCCTGCCTCACTCCCTAAAGGGCATCCTCCCAGAGTATCACAGGATGAGCATAAGGTCTCATGTCTAGAAGGTTCCTAACAATATGGAAAGAGGTTGCCCACCTGTTGAAGCTCCAGAGCAGGAATCAGGACCTGAGTTCTACTGAGCACTCCTGGTAGGCTCTGTGACCTTCAACAAGCCCCTATCCCTCTCTGGGCCTCAATTTCTTCAACTGTAAATGGATAGGCTGGTCTGGATGACCTGTGGGATGCCTTCAAGCTCTGGTTGGTTCTGTTGGGAGTGAGGGTTGGGGTGGGGGTGGGACGAGCAGATGCCTGAAAGATGCTTAGCTGGTCAGTTGGGAGTAGGCTCTGTACTATATCAAAACTGAGCCCCAGGCTTAGAGTCATCCTAGTTCTTTCTGGGTAGGCCTGCTGGGGCATAGGTCCCATGGCTCTGCTCAAGACGGAGACTCTGGACAGTTCCCATGACTGATGGAACCACAGAACATCTGAAATAGATGGGGGTGGGGAGGCATGAAGTGGAGATGGTAGTCCTTCAGACCAATAAGGAGTTACTCATAGGCACTGACCACTAAATTGGATTCCCCAGAGATGTTCAGCCCACACCCCGGCCAGTCCAGTTCATGTCTCTTCCTGTCTCCTGAGGAAGGACTTCATGGCAGGCTCCATGAGGCTGACTCTGGGCAGAGAGGCTGCCTACCCAACCTTAGTTCCTGGACCAAATCTCCACTCCGAAGATTCAAACACCCCCTGCTCCTTAACTCTTGGGCCAGGCTAGAAGACCACTTTGCCAGTCTGGAGTTGGTATCCACCACCACACCTGTTCCTCAATCTTCCTAGAGCCCCCATCTCCCTACACATCTGGCTGGGAAAGCCTGAACCCATAACTCCAATTCAGTCACTCTCCCTGCCATCTCTGCAGGGGCCCTGGTTACAAGGAGTTGAAATTTGCCTAAAGCCCACCTGGCTGGCATAATGGTGCTCAGTGGGAAAATTCAGGCCAATGGCTCAGAACCATGGTCATCATGCATTTTGGGCTCAAACACAGCCCAAGGGGCAGGGCTGAGGACCTGTACTTCATTACCTGAGTAATGTGGGAAGCGTTAAGTAAATTGGGCTCTACTTAGAGGGACACACATCCTAGGCTTTCTGCGTGACTTTTCAATCTTGGCCAAAAATGTTCAGAATACAGGATGGGGATACATTCCTTTAGAGTACATTCCTGCCCCTGCCAGTGTACATAGGAACTCTTGATACCCACTAGCAGCTCCCTAGACTCATTTCTACCTCAGGGCAGGGAGGACCTAATTTTTTCAGGATCGAGTGTTCTGTAATATCTGGGGAATGCTCCAAGCAGTGGGGACTGCCTCATTAAACCATCTACACTCCCAGGACCCCTTGTGATCAGCAGGTGGTGGGGTCAAAGGTAAAAGCTTAGGCTTCTGAAGAGATTATTGTGGAATTCAGTCCTTATTGGCTATCTTGGCAGACAAATCATAACCACAGAGCCATGGGCCCATTACATGCTGTCCAAATGCTCTCTGCAACACTGAGATCCCCTCCTCCCCTGAGCTATTGTGAAATTTTTAGCAGAGCAGACTTGGAGAAAGGAGAACAAGACGGAGGTACCCAGCAAAGTGGCACGTGCATGCACACGCGTGCACACACCCACACACATACACACACACACACACACAGACATATATGCCAGAGTATGTTTTTGTGCCAGGCCCAGGAAAACTGGTTTAGGGTCCATCTGACCCTTCACTCACCTCCCTGAGCTCCTTGGCCACTTCCTTGAGCTCCCGTAGGATGCCCTCCAGCTGTCCGATAACCATCTTCATGCGTTGTCGAATCCGCTCACGTTCACCACCACTGCTGGGGTCGACACTGGGCTGCCCGAGGTCTGGGGTGCCCCGAATGTTCATCCTTCACCACGTGGCTGCAGGCCTGCCCATACTCCCCCCAGCCAGGCACACACTGCGTCTGCCTCCACAGAGCCCCCCTCAGCCAGGCAGTGCTCCACATCTTAACGGCCCCCCAGCCTACGCTGGCCCTGGGTGGCCCTCACCCAGCCCCTGACTCCTGCCACCCCGCTTCCTTTGCCTCTGGATGGGGAATGGAACACCCAGAAGGAGACAGAATCTGACCCAAGGGGCCAAGATGAGGACATAGAAGGGGAGGGGGAGGGGGCTTCGGTCTCAAGAGGCCTTCAGGACTTGAAGTGCCTATAGATATGCTAGGCTGATGTCTAGCTGAATCTGGACACAGAGGAAGGGGGATGACTCTGCAGGGACTTAGGGTAAGAGATGCCCTTGGGATTAGGGAAGCAGCACAATCCCCTCACGATTCTTGGGCAGTTGCAAAGGCAGAGGTCTCTGGTTGCAAGTGACATCTGCAGAAGAACTGTGCCTGGGGTCTTCCAGATGTGGAGGGGGCTCCAGATGTGGACAGCTCTGGGAAGGGAGCTGGACTGGAGGAGGGCAGCCCCCTGCAGAGAGAGCAAGCCTGGCATCAGCCCTCCCAAGCTGCAGCATCAGCCAGCAATGCTGCTGCCTCCATACTCTCCAAAGCCGGCACCCTTCCTCGCTGGGGATTTGTTTTTCTTTGTGGGAAGGGATGGTGGAGGCAGATGGCCTACAGCACGGCCTCTCTTTGGGAAGAAAGAGGGAGCCCCTGCTTTTGAGGCAGAAGTCCTCAGCCTGTGATGGGGCACAGAGCACCAAGTCCCCCCAAACACCCCTCCCAGCCAGGCCTTGCTCTGGAGGTTCACCAGAGGGTCTCTCCAGTCTCAGTCCTCCCTCATAGCGCCCCCAGAGTGCCCTTGTTCCCAGCAGACCCTCCCTTTCCCAGCCCAGCCTTCCCTTAGAACCCCCGGACTCACCGAGGGTGGAGGCACCAGCCTGCCTTCCGAGTAGCGTGGGAGCCAAGCCCCAAGATGGGAGGGGGGGGAGGGGGGGAAAGCAGGCTCCCTAGGGTGGGCTTCTTTCTCTGGACCCTTCAGCCCCTGGCCTCAGGGAGGTCTTCAGAGCCGCCCCAGGAGACATATGGGCGGTGGGAGTGGCGGGGCCTCCGCGCTCCCTGACTGGGGGCAGGAAAAATGTCCCTCAAACCCCGCCGGGTGAGGAATGGGAAGAAGGGTCTGATGAGTCTGCGGCTCTCAGGCCACAGGTGACCCGGGCGTAGGTTGTCCCGGTGCGTGAGCCAAAGTAGCTGGGATGGGGGGGTGGGGGGGGGGGCGCCGGGATCCCCTCAGACCGCGCCCGGCATCCCCTGGGCTCGGTACGGTCCAAGCTTCGCTCGGTCCAGTCCAGAACGGTATGAGCCGGCACCTCTGGGTGCCCCGGACGCACTCAGCCCGGGCCCAGGATGTCCGCGCTTCCGCACCTCGGCGCCCCGAGGGTCCGAGCAGCCCAGCCCCGCGCTCGGCCGGCGGCCAGAGAGCGCTGCCGCCGTTCTCCGCGGCCCGGGAAAGGCCGAGGGACTGGTCCCCGCTGTCCGGCCCGGAACGCGCAGGCGAGGGGCCCGGCCGGCTGGGCGGCAGCCCGGGCGCGGGCGGGAAGGGCGCGAGGCGGCGGAGAGGAGGCGAAGGGAATGGAGGAGAAGGCTCGGCGCGGCGAGGGGCGGGGGGAGAATGCGCGGCGGCCCAGCCGGCCGGAAGCACCGGGTTCGCAGCCCGAGACCAGCGGCCGCCGCCTCCCGCCGGCTCCCACCCGCTCGCCGCCTCCCAGCCCCCGGCGCCGGGCCGCTGCCGGAGGGGCACAGGCGCCGCCTGGGGCTGGGCCTCCCTCCGCGGCCTCGCCCTGACCTGCCCCGCCGGACTCCGCGGGCCCGGGCCGCTCCTCGAGGGTCGCCCCGCGCCTCCGGCGCCCGGCCACCTCCCGCCCCCACCGGATGGCCGCCGGGCGGGCGCTGCTCCCTCCCAGACCCCGGGCTCCGCGGTCCCGCTCGCTCGGCGCCGGCAGAGAAGGGCCGCTCCGCGCGGGGAGGGAGCTTTTAAAGAGACACACACGCCTCCCAGTGCCGAGCACGCGTGCTGAGCGTGGTTCTCGCCACCTCGGCGGTGGGGAGATGTCCTGCGCTGGCGAGGCTGGAGGCGGACTAGCCCGGCTGGAATCCGCTGACCTCGGGGCATGGAGGGACAGCAGGCTATAGACTTAACCCTTTCCCACCTTTCCAGACACCACTATTACCCCCCCCCCCCCACCGCCATGCACCCCTCGCTTTCCCTTTGGCTAAGTTTCCCCGCATCCAGACCCTTTCCTTCTATCACACTTCAAACTACCCCAGACATTGCCTTACATCAGATTAATTTAGGAAACAAAACATGGGCAACTTTTACTGAGCACCTACCATGAGCCAAGCTCTGCCTGGAGGGCTGGGAATTGGAGGCTCCGCAGATGACAGATAAGTCTAACGGTTAGACACTCAACATTTATTCAGCACCCCTGTGTACCATGCCCCATATACTAGACTCGGGTACAGGAAGGAAAAAGCAACATTTTAGGAAACTCACAGCTCCTGGGAAACACTCCGGAGTAAAAGGAAGGGTGGTAAACACAGGACAAAAGCAAGTTCTTGAAGCAATTGGTGAGTGGCGAGGACAGCTGGGAAGGCCAGGAGCAACCTCTCCTGGGAAGCAACCCTGAGCTGTAGGAACTAGAGGTGACAGCTAGCCAAGCCTTACCATTCTGAGGGAGGCAGGGCTGGGGCTGAACATTGAAGGCAGTAAAGGGGAGGAACAGCAAGACTCAGATGCAGAAGTGAGGGGAGTTTCAACTGTGGCCTTTTAGAAATACCGTTTTGACAGCTCTGTGGAAAATGCATTAGAGGAAGAACAGATCTTGGAGAAACTCAGAGGCCATGGTTAGAGCTTGGATTTTATTCTGGAGCAGAAGGAACCCAGATTTTTCAGGGCTGTTGTGTTGGTGGATCTGAGGTTAGACCATAGGGAGGAGACCAGTTAGGAAGCTGTTACTGGAATGGAGCTGAGAGAGGAAGGACTAGGATAGAAGCAGGGATAGAGGGGAGAGGATGCTTTGAGAAATGATTTAGAAGAACATGGCAGGACTAGGTTGAACTTTAAGAGAAGGAAGAGTCCAGGAGGACCCTAACTTATAGCGTGGGAACCTGAGTAGATGGTTGCATCACCAATTATGTTAGAGAACAGAGGGGAAGAACAGGTCTTGGGTGAAGAAGAGGAGTTCAATTTGGAACAGGTGGAGATATCCTGAAGACATGAGTATATGGGTTTACGGCTGGCCTGAGAGTTTTTTGTTTGTTTGTTTATTTTGTGTTTAGTCATCATTAGGGGGATGAAATTGAGGCAGAAATACAAAAGTAGCAGGTCCAGACAAGAGCCTTGGGAAAGAGCCCCTGAATGAGATGAACAGGGACTGTCAGGGAGGTAGGAGAAGAACAGGAGTGTTCAGATGTAGGAGGGAAGCATGTGCTCAGCAGTTGTGAGAGAAGGAATGGAAAGTCTCCTTAGGAGGCCACTGGTGATGTGACAGGGGCAGGTTTTTGTGGAGGGAGGGAAGGAAAGTGGCAGGAGCTAAATTGTTGAACATTGAAGGACGAGTAATTGGTGAGGAGTGGGAGTTAGTGAATATACTAGTAGGTGATACTGTTAGAAGTTCAAACAAGGTTGTAGAGATCTTGAACTATAAGTGAATATGGGTTCAAGGGAGAAGGGGCTGGATGATGATTTGAGGCTGGCCCATGGGAAACTTGAACTCTAAGGACAGAGATTGTTGTGCTTCCATCACCAACATCCAACTCCAGAATGCTTCATCATAGAAAGCTGAAACTCTAGGGAATCCAAGATGGCTACTGACGGGACAGCAGGCTGCAAGATAGTGTGTGAGTGAGAGTGAAAGGAGAGTGTGTAGATGTGCGGGGAGTGTCTGATTTGTAGTGAGGGACAGCTATATTCCAAGGAATTGTTGGGGACTGGTGGACTGGCTCCCCTGGCCCGGCAGCCTCTACTGCTGCTGAGATCTCTCCCTGAGCGGTCGCTCTGCTGCAGAGACCTCACTATCTTGAATGGGAGAGCAGCTGTAATCGGAAGCCCAGCCTTACCTTCAAATGGGGAGACCTTGGATACCTCCTGGGTCCCTACAACCACACCCTCCATGGACAAGCTGCCTCAGCTGTAAACCCAGGAACACCAAAATTCCAGCCTCCCTGGCCACGGATGCCTAAAAAGTTTGTCCAGGAGGAGACAAAGCGGCACGGAATATGTGGACAGGCCCTGCGCCTTCTCACAGAGCAGATAGAAGGAACAGCTGAATCCAACAACATCCACCTGAAATTGGTGAATTAAACACAGCTGGTAAGGCAATCCATGGACTGAAAAGTCAGAAATTGCCTAGAGAGAGATGTGATCTGGGATCCAGGCTGGAGAGAGAAAGGCACGAAACAGGGATTAGAATCTCAGAGGAAGACTTCGGTCCACCAAATCTGCAGCCCTGTGCTAAGTGTAGCCCTCAAATGTGGAAGGGTGTCCACAGGACTGCTGGCAGAAGAGGACCCTAAATATAAGCCCACAGCCATAGTAAACTGTGTCCAGAAAGGCAACCTGAAGTTCTATACCGGCCACCCAGTGCCAGGGAAAAAGATGCTAGTCAGTGCAATTACTTTGTCTTTTTATTTTATTTATTTTTTATTTTTTACCTTGTTGCTTTTGCTTGCTAAGTCTAGTAATTAAAAACACACACCAAGACTTCAGGGGAAAGTTGTTTCTGTGGGAACTGGAGATCACAATAAGGAGAGATGAGCAGGAAACCAGCTCTGGATCAGTCCGTCCCTCCAATCCAGTCGTAAGTGTGGCAGGGAAAGAAGAGTCTAAACACTGGTTAGAGGTGGCCATTAATACAGAAACACTGCCATCCAGGGGTTGTGTCAGAAATTGACTTGTGTAAATACAACTGAAGGCAGGCAGAGAAACAAAGTGAGCAGAGATCCTGTCTGCTTGAAAACAAGGTTGTGGCTTATGACAAACAAGAGTAGTGGATCACAGGGGACTTCAACATTGTGCTGACTACCTGAGAGAAAATAGATGTGCCAGGCAGAACAGTAGAGGAATTGAACGACCCTCACTACTTAACTTTTTCATTTTTTATATTTTACTTAAGAAACTAAAATATTTTTTCTTTTTTTCTCTTGATTTTACTTTTTTATTAATATATTTTTATTTTTAATTATCATTTTACCTTTTAAAAAGTTTTATTTTATTCTGGGATTAGTGTTCTACATTCTACTTTTATTTTTCTTTTAGCATTATTTTACTCTATCTCAATTTTTCCTTTATTCCAACACTCTCTTCCTCATTTTTTCTTTTTCCTTTTCCACTCTTTTATCCTCTTTCTCTTACCCTGTTCCTGCTTTAGTTTTTCTCTATACTTTCTTTTTTTAATATATTTTATTGATTTGTTATAGAGAGAAAGGGAGAGAGATAGAGAGCTAGAAACATCGATGAGAGAGAATCAT